TTGGGCTAAACTGCAGTAAGAAAACTCTGCCTCACAAAAGAAAATAAAAAAACTGATTAATTTTGGAAATCAGTCTGATTGAAGATGACAAAAACAAAAGCAAAACACAATAATGGCAAAGACCTGGTCCTTTTTTACTGAAACTGAGCTAAGAACGATACATTTCTTTTAGAAATGCTACTTTTTAATTATTATGAGAACTACATTAGCCATGCCCAATCTGACTTAGCTTCTGCATATTCAACAACAATAATTACCGGATAAATCTGTGTCAACACCGTCCTCCAGTTTCGAGATAAAAAACACACTATCTGTGGCTTTAACAAATCATTAAAGTTTCAAAGAAACAAAATAAAAATGAATTTAAATTGATTTGACAGCTTGTATTGGATGCATCAGATTATGATGGAGTCAAGTGTAATTAGTAAAGATTTACACTTATAATCTGTGCAGGCTTAGGTTTTAAGCCTCACGTCCAAATTTTTAAAGTAAAGTTGAGTTCAGTCAAACTCAGCAACATAAAAACACACATCAACCCCTTTGTAATCTGTATAAAGCACAGGAAAACGTGCAGATATTTTAGATTTAACGACTGGATAAACTACATTACTGAGGTAAAGCTGCACGATTTAATGAGAATTCAGTTCCTCATCATCTACTGCCGAACTCAGCTTCCTTTAACTCTGAACAAATGCAGCGATAAACTTCCCATTCTTTCTACGCTGTTTAAAGGCTGTCAGCTGCCACCCTGATAAGTGCTTAAATATTATAAAAGCGTGTTTAAAAAACAGCTTTAAAATGATGCGTGCTCTCACACTCCGTGCTTTGCTGTCAGACGGTGACTCAGATCAAGACAAGATGTTTGTGTCTCAGGATAGTAACAGTAGTCAGGTACATAATGGCCTGCAGCAACAACAAGAACATAACCACCCTTCTTCTAATGGAAAAAATGCTTAGGAATTAAGAGTCAAATCTTACATATAAAAACAAATGATGACACGTGAAACCAGCATTTAATTTGCCGTGACTCAGTGTAATGTGTGGATAATTTGAGCAGGAGGTGTGAGGATGAGATGCAGCTGCTGTTAAATGTCACAGAACAGAAAATTAAAAGGGACTCCTTAAAATGTCCCAAAGACAAGTCAAAAAGAAAAAAATATCTGCACATTTTTTCCCTTCTCATTTAAACCATTAATCTATCTAACTTTTTGAAGCACTTTTTTAAATATAGGAACAGCCAAAGTGACTGAAAACAGCAGAATACAAGCTGCTTAGGATCAAACAATAACTACGGAACAGACAATAAAGCTATCTATATATTTATACATCTATTGAAACATATTTGTGCTCAGTTTAAGTAGAGCGTGCTGATAGGTGTGTCGCATCAAGTCTGAAGTTGGGTGTAAAACACTACAATGGCAGAAAGGATTAATGGTGTTTACGAAAGAAGTGATACCAAGACTAACCCTTGGACCATCCTCCTCTGGCCTAATCCAATCTAGTAGGTAGCTTAACAAGCAAATCCCAGATAGGAGAAAAAAGTACAGATCTGAATTATAAACTAGTGGTGTCCCAATACCAGCATTTTTATAGGTTCTCATACTCATTCAAAATGCCTCAAAACACAAAACTAACACAGATGTTTTTGCGTTGATGCTCACTTAAATGTGACCTTCATCCAACTCCAGTGTGAATGCTTTATGTTTTATTTTTTACAAGATTTAAACTGCACGATTCAATCAGTATTTAGATCAATCTATACACCCCCGTCTCCTTGATGTAAAATTCAGATGAAATGCGACACGAGTGTTCAGACTGCAGTCGCTTTGACCAACATCAGACATGTATCTGATTTAGTACCAGGTTCTAAATAAAAGAAATGTGTTTTGTAATCATTCTGTTAAGTTGTAACTCAGTAAGTACTCGGTATCGGCGAGTACTCAAACTTAAGTACTCGGTTTGAGAATATATGCTATCGGGACACCACTATTATAAACATTTCGGGCGCTAAACTCGAGTTGAAAAAATAAACCACTGAAGCATTATATTTAACAGTCTAGTAAAGTTTTTGCGAAATATATATGTTTGAATGTGAAGCTGTCCTTAATGTCTGATTCCTGATATTTATTCTTGATTGTCGTCTTACTCCTCTTTTCTTTTGTTTTTTACAGTCGATTCACTTTCATCCAAACGCCTGGTCTAAGATTTTACGCTCACATTTGTTTACCTACACAGACTATGGCCAGCCCAACCCAGGTCAAGCACAGGACTTAAGCATCTACGATTTTCGGTGCAGCTGAGGGCTTACAATGAGTGCATGCCCGTATTTCAGAATTGCCTTGCAAAATATCTGGAAAATAACTTCACTGTATAGTTCCAGATAGCCCTTTACGTCTTTTATGGTGTGCATTGAGGACATTGTGGGACGTGACAACCTGTTGAAAGCTCTTTGTCAGCTTTAGGTACCTGGATTTGCTGGTGGAGGATTTGTTGCTCTTGCTGGTAAAGGACGTGCTGCTGCTGAGTGTGCTCGAGGAGGCGTTCGTCCTGTTGGGCAGCATACTTTTTCTGAAGCTGCTCGCACTCCTGTTTCAAAAACAGAGACGAGAGCGACATGGTCAGTGCAAAGGCAAACACAGAAAGTACTTACACCTAAAAACTTGTTCCGCAAAGAAAACAAGTTTACACTTAGAATATCACGGGTAATATTTGTAGGAGATTATCATCTTACAGATAGTTTCAGCCGATGCAAACGGTTTATTCTGCAGTTCATGATCTCTGGCGTTCAAAACTATTCTAACTATGCTTAAACTGTAAAATCAAAGTATCTCTTTATCCTCCATGACTGACATTACATGTTTATCTTCATGTACAGGAGATCTGGACCAGGGTTGGTTAGAGAAGAAACAAGTCCGCGCCTCTCCTGTGACCTTATTAACCCATGTGACACTTGAGTAAGGATAATCCCAGCATGTCAGTTCAAGCTGAAGATACAGCACCTGCTGCCAACATGATGATTATACCTTTCCCTATCGGAGCATCGGGGAGGTAATCCTTACTGCAGGTTCACTGAAGATGATGTGATGTCTCAAAAAGCAGCCTGAGGTTTTTTTTCTCTCATGTCGGAGCTTCAGTCTGACCTAATCCAACCAAACGCTACATTCTGCTGAGTGTCAGCAATATGGTAAATTTAAACTGTGTACAAAACAAACAGAAGAATAAAAACATATGCAGGGAACTCTTATGACTGACATGTGTATGGTAGTGTTATTTCTTGACTCTTTGTGCAAATTGATGCCAACATGGGGAATAATTCAGAATTCGAAGCCTACACAAAAATTACAGTAACACATCATGATTTATTTTTTCTCCATTTGACATAAAAAGGTGCATCTGACTGCTCATAAATAAACAATCCAAAGGTTACCAAAGCATACATTCATTAAATACGAAGCATCTTGTAAAATTCACCTGAAACAATCAGAACACTTTGATGGAATCATGAATACCAGGGAGCAAATTAGTTGTTTTCAACCTGATCTAACAATTGCTAGTTTAAGAAAAAACAAGGTAAGAATTAACAACTTATTCAAACAGTGATGATTTGAGTGTTCAAGATGGAGGAAAAATCATGTTTATAAAACAGCTGGAACTTATAGCAGAAGTACGAGTTCTCATAAGAAACTTTAACTTTATCTGTAATCTGAACCAAAACTAAAGCCTCGAAAAGAGGTAATATATATTTTGGTAATATAGACATAATATTTATGTAGTAGTAGGTTAATCTTCCTGAAACAAAGCGCACTGGTGGATTTATTTGATCATATTCTGCTGTTTGAAAGAAAGATCTGCAGAGAGAAGCAGCAGAATGTGATATGCTTCAGAAAGTAGATTTTGATGTTTCACTCAGACACAAAGACTGAAAGACATCAAATTAGAACCAACATTTGAGTTTTTCACAGAACTAAATAAAACATTTAATTTAGATTCATCTAAATATTGGAAAAACTGCCAATCCGTGGTAAAAAAAAACTAGAGGCTGCAGCACTTTGAGATGCATCTTCAGATGCATTGAATTGTTAAGCGAACAACTGAATTGCAGGTTTAGCTAATGTTCAAAGCTGCAATTATCATCATCCAGCTTACAAAACCACATAAAGATGCTGCAACAACTGAAGCTGCTGGCTGGCTGACAAGTAAGGATAAATGAATTGATTCCTCAGAAAAAAAGGTAGTTGTTTTAAAAATAAAGTAAGAGACAAGAAAAATTACTCTACATTGAGAAGTGCAGGACAGATTTACCAGCCCTTCAAAGGTTTGTTCATAGGTTTGAGACAGAGGAGAGAACATCATACTCTCTGTTCAAGGCTGTCTGCCGGAGCGTTTTCAGAATATGTAAGAGGAGTCTCTGTTTGTATTAACGAGTCTGGAAAAGTTACTGAACAGACAAATGAAAAGGCTCAGGTTTTTCAGATTTGACACAAGAATCTCTAATCTTTCACCGTTTAGTTTCTGTAATCAGCTGCAATATTGTGAACTGGCCCTTTCTTCTCTATTATACAGAAATGACCTAACACTCTTGTCTGTACTTTCAAAACAAATGTGTACTGAAAGTGTTTGAAGACGCAAACAAAAAAGCAAAATGGCGAAGTGTGTAGTGGTCGCCGACTGGCCAATGGACCTACATGAACCGCCCTGAATGACGTCATTTATTAACAGATGCGCGAGCAGTCAGAGCGAGCTGAAAACGAGAGGATTTACAGAGGTTTTCCAAATGATGGCAGAGCACCGAGACAAACTAGTCGAATCTTTAGAGCAATGAAAGACCACAACGGCCGGCGCGGCTCTGACCAGTAGGACTGGAGTTGCTTTGGGTAAATGGAGGCGATCTAAGGCCACTGAATGTTCTGGCTGCTGCTAACTGTAGAGTGGGACTCGTGGCAAACTTCAGAGACATCTGAAGATGGTGAGTGCGTCATGCATTTTGGGAGTATTGAACATAATTTGTGGGACACATATCACGCTAGATAAATTGTGCTTTTCCTTTATAAAGTTTGTACTATTCTGCCATTTGTGCATGTTTGTTTCCATTGCTAACTAGCTAGCAGCTGGCTTGCTCGTGGCTAGATGGCTAGTTAGCGATCCAGGCTAAAAACAAACACCCTCTGCTCTACATTTACTGTATTTAGCAATTATTGTTTCTCATATTCGAGGCTAATCGTTGTCTTTTTGTTCAGAGTCACCTTCGACAAGTGACCAGATGAGCTCCCAGGACGCTTCCCCACCTTCTCCGGTACCGCCTGCCTTGCCGTCCGGGCCGAGGAAGCCAGAGCTTCGCCCGTTACATTTGGACTTTAAAGTAGTTTTTTTTAGGTGATTGTATTTTTTTATGTGGTTATATCTTGTTTGACTTTTATTTTGTGCAATAAAAGATACCACTGGCAATGCTTTTTGTTTTCTGTTGAGTTAAATCGTCAACATAAATGCACTCACACTCCTAGGCATAAAGTGTGCAGTAACTGCAAGTTCATTTATTAGAAAATCATTTTGGTGGTGTGTTGCTGCATCTATAAGCATCAGTTTTCTGTAGCAGGCTGTAGCAGGAGTATTATTTACAGACTAAATAGCAGAATTTTTTCATGTCAATAGTTTGCTGTTGCACTGAATAAGAAACAATAAACAGCTTTAGATGCTTACCACCCACTTTAAAAAACATTACCACCTTTTTTCACTGATACCACCCAAAAAGGGGGGACAGAAGTTACAGCGGCAAATCACCTACACCTGAGTAGAACCGATCAGACGAGAACCCTGTGTAGCCGCACTTAGCAATAGAAAAGCACCTATTATATCCCTGTCAAGTAATCGAATTGTGTAATTTTAAATGACTACAAAATGAATAAAAATACTCTAAATGTGACAACTGCAGCATCTAAATATGAACGTAACATTTACTTGATATGAACGCCATTACAAAAAGCAGTTTCTCCGTTGATGAGTGAGATGAATTTAGCTTGAGACGTTCAGTTTTTTTCCTGCTATATATCATGTTTAAATGAAGTGACACACCTGCTTGAGTTGCTTAATGAGGCTGCTGTTCTCCAGTTGAGCCTTGAAGGCCTGGATGGTGGCGGCGCCGTCAGAGAAGCGTCTGACCGGAGAGAAGCGCTCCATGGGGAGGTGGAGGGTGTTACAGTCCTTATAGCTGGATCTTAAAGGATGGGGGCACAGGAAGCGTGCACACACACACAACCACACACACAAACACAGGGTGACAGCATGACAGAAGACACAGCCACAATGACGCACACAAACACAGTCAGTTACAGACAAACGAATGAGAGAGACAAACAAATATGTGAACTTTTTGAACTTTCACAAAGACCGTGTGTAGTTTGACAGTTATTCAGTAAATAATCAGGAATGACTTGTAAAGTCATAAAAGAGATAAATAAATAAACAAATGCAAATAATGCCTGAGTCATCTGCGGTACATATGACGTAAACAAAACTGTAAAGTTTTCTGTTTTTGAAAATATTAATCCATGTACAGAGAAGTCACTGGATTGACTAACAATGCCCAATAATAAAAGGCAAACCTACGACGATTACATGTTTGTGTGTCTGCTGAACTTTTAAATTTTTAGACCATATTTGACTGACCTACATACAGCATCAAATCCACACAGGAAAAACAGAAAATAAACCTGTTTAAACTTCAGGTCCAGCTGCCTGATTCATTCAATCCCAAAGATAAACATAAAAGTGCACGTGTCTTGAGCAAAACTGAAGTACAGCAACTCTTTTACTGACTGAAAAATAAATGAATGTTTGATAAAATCAAACTTATTTAAAGGGATAGTTCAGAATGATGTGAAGTGAGGTAGTATGAAAAGGTTATGAGCAATTATCACCTTACCTGTTGCAAATGACTTTCAATGACTCCACTTTGGAGCAAGTTAGTTTAATTAGTCTTAAAACACATAAAAAAATCATAGCAACAACACTTTTTTTTAACCTTTACATTACTGTCAATTTTGAATCACAAGGATATTTACAAGGAGTCCTTTGGTTATTTGCAAGTACCGATAGCTGCTGCAGCAGTTAGCTGTAGCACTTTCCATAAAGGCTGGAGCAGTCAGCAGAAATGTTGGAATATTTCTGCCAGAATAAACATTTAATGCAGAATTAACAGTAGCGTAAAAGTTCATAAAAAAGCTTCATAAACAAATACTATAAAATTCTGGGGAGCCATTAACACAGAGGTGCCAAACTCGGGTCCTTGAGGACCACCATCCTGCATATTTTGCTTGTTTCTCTGTTCCAACACACCTGATTCAGTGATTCAATTGCGTATATGCCACAAGTTGTGGTGCATTACTTTTGTTAAAATTTAAGCCACGTCTATCTCTTCCAGTTGTCACCGACTCCGTATAATTTTTAGCGGTAGCTGCTGGAGCTAGAATTACTGGTGTCCCGTTGTGTTCATTGACTAGTAAGTACAATAGAGGACTTAGATTTTTCTAGTTTCCTGCTGATGAGGAGTTAAGGCTATGGATCGTGGCTAGGGCTGCCATGATTAGTTGATTAGTCGACGACTAATCGACCATTAAAATAGTCAACGACTAATTTAATAGATGATTAGTCGTTTTATTTTTTACTTTGTTTTTCTCTCCAAACTGCTTTGACACCTTCCACTGCCGCATCTGCCTTTCTGTCCTTCATTTTAAGAACATGACAGAGAAACCTGTGCAATATCTGCATGGCAGAACTTGCCTTCCACTGCACTTATTTTTAGTTAGCATATAGCTAAAATCTAACAATGTTTATATACTAGCAGCTGCATTCTGGCACGATAAGCTGTATGTTTTATATTCAATTAACATATGATCCAAATAGTCGACTAATAGAAAAAAATAATCGGTGATTAGTCGACTTTAAAAATATTTGTTTGTGGCAGCCCTAATTGTAGCTATACCCAGGGAAAACTTAGCCATGAAAGCTCACACTTGCTTTTGTAGATGAATTTTCAAACCAAACTCAAGAGCCAGCATCAGAAATGGGAAGACAGCAGTTAAAAATGGGAGCTGTACTTGCTTTGAACAAATGGAACAATTACACCCTTCCACTTCCAAGATTTTGCTGCTTCCTACAAGAATATTAGATTCTTCACAAGGTAAGTCTGTGTGTGTGTGTTGACGTGTGCAGTTGTGTTAATACAGAGTATGAATTTCTTTTAGGGAACTGTTCCATGAGTTTTATGCTAAAATAAAAACTCCTTATTACAGATTATATTAAATAGAATAGACAAAGCAACGCTTCTACCATAAAATCATTCCATTCCACCAACATCGGGGCAATATGATCCAAACCACACAAGCATCCTGTCAAATTAAAGTCCAAACTCTTCTGTTTACAACAGTATAAGTGTCACCGCTCAATATGAAAAATCAACAGAACAAGCAGCCAATGAAGTGTAAAAAAGGGTTAATTTCCCGAACCTCAAAACATAAATAAAGTCTTACCTTTGATGTTTTAAAGTTATAATCCTCGTTGGCTCCTATAATCCATTGTCCCCGTGTTACACAGATGCAATTCTTGTCTCTTTTTAGTTTAGTTTTTTTTTGGCCCCCCAAAAACAAAATAAAATAACAACATTGCTAACCCACTGCTGCCTGCACATTGGAAGTGATCAATGGGTCCAATAAATGCAGTGATAGATACAAATGCTAGAACTGAAGTCTGTGGCATACAGGGTTGATCACACTTACACTCAAATCAAATGTGCTGGAGCAGAGCAAAAACAAAACCAACAACAAACAAAAATGTTGGATAGCAGCCCTCAAGGACCGGAGTTCAACAACTGTGTGTTAGCTAAGAAAATGGGGCCGATATAAGATTTTTCTTCTTCTTTCCAATCCTGGTCTTTTAGGGTTGCTATCTCACTTCTTTCACCTGTTTCTGTGCTCCAACACACCTGATTCAGTGAGTGAATAACCTCTTCAAGTTCTGCAGAAGCCTGTTAATCACTTTCATTCATTCAAATCAGGTGTGTTGGAGCTGAGAAACAAGTACAACATGCAGGATAGTGGCCCTTGAAGACCAGGATTTCCCACACCTGCTCTAACAAAGAACCATCTACAACAGGTAAGACATGACCTCTCCACAGAACTATGTTTAAAAAACATGTGACTTGTTTATAACACTTTAACTTTATGTATGGATAGTGAAAATGTAAGGATTTAAGACAAGTGGTGATTAGTAAGGAAAATCCATACAAGAAGTTTAGGCTAAATTTTGGTAATTTTTAAACTTATCATTTTGATCCTGTTTAAAGTGGTCGTTGTTTGGTTATAAAATATTTGTTTTATTTTGTTACAAGATGTTCCAAAAACGTAGTTAATTAATTCAGTCAGATTTTACCCAGCGTACTTAAACTCAGGAGGAAATGTTTGTCTGGGTTCATGCAGGTTTCAGTAAGTTAAATTTAAGACCTTTTAAAGACCTTTTAAGACCATTAGGAATGCCATTTAAGACCAAACCAATGCATTAACAGAAGCATTCGAATGGTCTCAGAAATTTTAACATAGAATATTTAATTTTAATACAAGAATGCTATATTATTTTAATGAAACTGTCATATCTATGAGACCTTCTTATCGACTGCTGTGGACCGTTTCCAACTGAGTGCAAAAATCACTGATATCAAGTCAAGTCTCATTGAAAACCCACTTTCCTATGTTTAAACCAAAAGCAGTGGACATGACTGAACTTCTTTGTTTTTTTGGGCAGGTGAACAAGCCGCCGTATGTGGGGGGGTTTTAACGGCAAAGAGGTTGAAAACATGGAAGTAAACTGTGCCGTTTTTTGCCTGCAGTTATCACAGGACTTGTAGTTTAATGCGTACAAAGACTGACAGCAAACTTAGCCCTTCATGAACACAGACCACGTCAACCTCTGAGTACGGCTCTTTCTTCTGTTTATTTATGCAGCCAACCCGTCTCGGGAATGATCAAAAGTAAAAACAAATTAAGACCTAACAAAATTTAATTTTAAAACCTTGGATGAATATCTGACCATTTTTTAGCCTTTTTAGGCCTAAATTTGAGACTTTTTTAGACTTTTTAAAACCCTGCATGAACCCTGGTTTGTTATTATGGTTTACTGGTAATGATTTAGATCTCTTCTGTGCTAAAGATTGTACTAATGATATTATTACAAAAGAAATAAAAACATCACCATTTTGGAAGGTATGCAAGTTTCACCTGGCATTTCATCAGCAATGTGTGTGTGTGAGAGTCAGACTTGATGTCTCATTATACAACAAGTGCATGTGTGTGTGTGTGCAAACAGCTCAGAGTGGGAGTGTCCCCTCACCGGGTGTGTGTGTCAGGGGCCCAGCCGCACCTCTGGCGGGGGCCCTGAGGCCGCTGTGACTCTGCTGAAGGCTCGCCATGCTGTGTGCTTGTGAGCACGTGCGTCGTGTGCCGCTTGGAGCGGTTCGCCAGGTACCTGGGCCGCAGGAAGGGGGGAGGACGGGGTGAGGGTGGGAGACAGGAAGCAGCGCTGGTCAGCTCTCTGTCTTCATTGGCTAATGGAGCTGGGGGGGATAAGGCCCGCCCCTTCCCACCTCTGCCAATAAGGTGCCATCATTCATATCATCTTAGCCAATCAGAAAACATCAAATAAAGTGACACCACAGATGGATGTTACAGCTTATGGAACTCCAACAACCACCCAGCTTCCAGATTAAGGATTGGGTCAGTTGCTATTTTTGAAGTCACTGGTTTGGCAAGCTTCAGAGTTAGCAAAGCTGTGTGAGAAAGAGTGAAAAAAAAAGTCCACAGAGTATTTTGGCACTTGCTGAAATGAGAGAGATAAAGCAGCTCGGGGGTCAGAGAGTTTGAGAGAACTGATGGCAGAATCTGTTCGGAATGGTGGCAGAAGGCACTTGCGCGATGGAGAAAGGAGAAAAGATGGGATAAGCACCACAGCACAGTGGCCACCTCCCAAGGGGGAAAAAAAAAGCAGAGCAGCCTAGAGGCACTCACTCCCAGCAACCCAGGACACCGGCGAAGTCTAGAGAACATGCCGTCTGAAGAGGACCACCTGAAAAGCCCAAAGCTGGACCTTTGTCACATCTCTTTCCACAATTCAGTCCACCGACTTGCTTTTTACAAATCATTTTTTATATGCATGTGTTTAAATCTTACAAGATGCTGAGGTACATAAATAAACATCTTAGGCAGCTACTGTAAAATCTGTTCCCTAAATCCCTAACTGAACTGCTACAGCTGTCAAAGGCTGTGGGATTTCGGCCGCTTCCTGTTCAGACAGCACCTCTAAAACGGAAACCCAACCACCACAAAAACCACCACCGTCGGTTACCTCTGCACCGCCTCCTGATCCGGCTCCCCATCTGATCCCTCCTCATCAACTGGAGCGACGGCGGGGATCGGATGCTGAAAGAGGCGAGAGGTTTACTCGTCATGGTTTCGTCCAACACACGGGCAGCAAATACACAAGGCTGAGAAATCCAGAGCCTCACCGGGCTGGCGACGAGCGGCGAGGGCCCTCGAGGCCTCTTCAGGAGCTGAGCGTGGAGCTGAATGTTGGCTCCGCCGTCGGACGCTCGTCGACCCAAGGGGCCCATGCCATTTAGGAGCTGCAGTGTTGGCGGCTGCAGCAGCGATTGCTCCTGCAGCACAAAAAAGAGTCAGATTATAATAAAAATGAATAATAAACGAATCAAAAAGGCATTTGCAGGTGAATATTCAGTCTGAACTAACTGATGTACCTTGTACTCCAGCTGCTGTGTGGGCTGCAGGCTCTGTGTGGGCATGAGGGTGTGCATTTGGCCCATAGTGGGGGCAAGCTGAGGGAAGGGGGTCTGGGGGATTACCCCACGGGGGAAACCTGGTGGAAGATTCTGGAGTTCCTGTATCTCTGTCCTGTGGTGGAAGGAGACACGATGTCAGGTGTTTATCATTTCTGTCTTGGAACCAAAACTTGGCCATCTGTCACCACGAACACTATAATCCCCTGCTTTCTGTGCACCGGTTTCCCCTGTGAGAAGCTATAAATATCTCTCAGATCACGGCTTTAATTACTTTAAAATGTGCTTAAATGTATTCAGTAAGTCACCAAAACATAATTTAACGTTAGCTTTAAAAAGGGCTGGACAACATGGCCCAAATTTATATCATGATATAACTCATTTCAGTCGATACAATAAAATTCCTATATTGATATGAATAAAAGATATCCACTGTGTTGTTCGTAGCGTTGTTCGCATTGGGTAAACAGCAGTAGTGTTGAGCCTGTGGTGTACATCATCACACACTGATGTAAAGTATCGATATAATTATTTAAAAAGTCATATACATTATATTTTGATTCTTGTATCATACTGTTTTTTAATAGCAAGGCCAGGGGACTACAGATGAAAAATAGCTGTTTGGCTAATTCTGGCTTTTTTTAACCTAAGAACAGGGTTCCCACACCTTGGTCATCATCAAATTCAAGGACCTTTCAAGGACTTTCCAGTACCAATTTCCTCAAATTAAAGAACCACGCACAACTGCAATTGCCTACTGCTACTGCAGAATGTTAACAATAAACAGGTTTAATATCATGTAAATTCAATGAAAAACTGAATAACAAAGAAGTTGTTGAGTCAGAAATAATGACGTCATTTTACCGTAATCCTGTGTTATCCACTGCAACAAATGTAAGTTTTTTTATTTAATTTTATAATTTTTTTTTTTAAAAGATGATGAAAATCAGTCGTGTGAATAGAGAATTCC